CAAATAACTAAAGCCAGCAGCCTACACTGCTTAAAAGTGGAGCTAAGAAGGAATATGTAACACCGTCAGGTAGGATGTTCCAGTGGCTGGGAGCACAGGAGCTAAAAGGAGCTTCACCCCTTTTTGAGGAAACCCTGGGAACAATCAGTCTCCCTGTTGGAGCCAGCCAGGTATCACGGAGCCAGGCCAGCAATAAAATTTTATAATCAATTTCCAAAATGTACAGGAAGCTAATGTCCCAACCAGAGCACAGGTGCATGGTCAGATTTCTTGAGGCTAGTTAAAACTCTTTCAACTGCATTCTGGACGAACTGCTGCTAGTGTAGGTGCTTTTGGGGTTTCACGGACATTTTTCCTAGCCCGTGAGATGTGAAAATGATTGTACAGTTGCAGATTTGCGTGAGCTGGGATGAAATGTCAGATTGAAAGGACGTCTGGTTAAAATGTCCTTGGATCAACTAAACACACTTTTTTAAAGTTGTGGGATTTTGATCAAGCGAAGAAGATGTGTTCAGTACTGAGTGGTGTGAATTTGCTAAACTAGTAGTGAGCTGGCAGACAGGAGGAGCAGGAGTGATGATGGGAATATTAGCTCTGCAGTGCCTCTGGTGGTCCAAACCTCCCCAGTGTTGTTTAAAATAAAAACTGGAACCAGTGTTAGTCTGATGATCACAGCCAGTACAGTGGATCAGCTCACCTCAGCTGTCTACTGTCAAAAGCACAAGAGCATCCAGAGGCTCATAAAATAAAGAATATAAATGAATATGTTGTCAACATGGCAGATGTTTTGCCTCTGAGTTGCTGGATGACACGTCAGGGATGTTGTGAGAGCTGAGAGCTCTTTGCAAGTGGCCTAATCAGTGGCCTCTTAGCTTTAGCCTGTAACCATCTGTTTCTAGACAGCTAGCAAGCTTTCACACACACACACACACACACACACACACGCACACGCCATCAGCAAATACTCTCAAGTTCATTGTAAACCCCTCCCCCACCCCCAATCCACCCACCTAACTCCCCCAACAAGCTTCCTGGCAGCGGACAGCACCACCAATCATCACTCGGTTCCCATGGAAACCTCCCCCGGCAACAGCCGTCACTATATCATAGCACTAGTGGAGGATGTGGGGAGGGAGGCAGAGGGGGTTGGCTGAGTTGTGGCTCTCGGCGTTTGAGGGAGAGAGGGGAAGAAAGAAAAGAGGCGAAAAAAATGGAGAACACACACAGCTGCCCTTCAGCTACGTAGCATCGCACCAGCTGCTCCAGTCACCACTCATCCCCACACACACACACACACACACACACCCACAACCACACACACACCACATACAAAACAGTGTTCAGCCTCAGAGATCTTGTATTTGCCTCAGCTTTGTCTGCATAACATTGCTGCTGGGCTTTTTCTTCATTCATTGATACATCAGTGGCCTTGATGTTTTGTTCATGTTTTGTCCTTGTGCATTTCACTAACAAGTCAGTCTGTTCCGTGCATCTGGCAGCATGTCCTGTTAGTTTAGGGTGCAACTAATTGTTCATGTACATTTTTTCATTTTTTCATTTATTGTAACTTTCGGTTGAGAAACATTTTGCCATTCGTTTTCTGGAGGCTGCAATAAATTTGGAAAGGCATAGCTTCCGCTGAACTGCTGTGCAGGCTGGAGTATCATTGACTGTTAATACTAGAAAAAAGTGCTGTGACACCAACTTGTAGTAAAAAACACAAGATTCAAATATTCTCACTAACATTCACACTCAGGGATGTAAATCATGTCAAAAACCTGGGTGTAAATTTTTTAACTGGGCTGCTTACCATGAGAGAATTACAGCCACAAAACAAAGTTAAGGAACAAAAAAATCCATTGTTTCATTAAGTTTGACTCACCAGATATGAACTATAGGAAATAATCTGTACTTCACTTTTCTTCAGATAATTGTTGCAGGTGTTGTGTTAAAAAAAAAAAAGTAGAGTTTATCTTTGTTTTGGGGAAGCACGGTGGTTAGCGATGTTGCCTCACAGCGAGAAGGTTGCGGGTTCGCGACCTTTCTGTGCGGAGTTTGCATGTTCTCCCCATGCTTGCGTGGGTTCTCTCCGGGTATTCCAGCTTCCTCCCACTGTACAAAGACATGCAGTTGTCTGTAAATTGCCTGTAGGAGTGAATGTGTGTGAATGAATGACTGAATGTTTGGTTTGAATATTTTTCCTTAAATGTGAGCTATGTAAAAAAAAAAAAAAAAAAAAAAAAAAAAAAAAAATTTTTTTTTTTTGCAATAACCTCCAGTGTCAGTACTTTAAGGCACAGGGATCACTGACAGCTCTGGTTCCTTGTGTTCAGCTTCATGATTTGACTGATAGTGTGTGTCCCAATGGTTCTGCAGGAAACCTGCCGTCCCTTGGCTGTGGAATGGGTGGCCTGCAGCCACACGTCAACACCAGCGGAGGTCAGCTGTACCAGCAGCAGATCCACCAGGGCATGCAGCAAGGAGTGGTCTCCCACCCAGCCTACCAGGGCCAGCAGCACTTCTCTGACAACCCACCCTACACAGACAGCAACAGTGCTACTGCTGGCTCCATGGCCTGCCTCTACCAGAACTACCAGGTGGGATGAGGAGTTACAATTGGGTTTCTGTAGCACTTTATGTAGTTTGACTAAAAACTGTTTTCATCATGTCCTGGCTGTTGTGTCCACAGCAAGGGATGTTGTCACATCCCCAGTTTGGGGAAGGGCAGCAGCCGCAGGGCGATGGGCTTCCAGTGGGTACACCTAGTTCTGACAGGGGCCCTGGCGAAGGCCCAGAGTCGGTGGATGCCATCTACAGAGCTGTGGTGGACGCCGCCAGCAAGGGCATGCATGTTACCATAACCACCACAGTGAGTGGGACCACACAGGCGAGCCCGGTGCCAGCCCTCAGCGCCATGAGTGCCTTCACTGCCTCTATAGGGGAGCCTGTCAACCTCCCCCAAGCAGTTAGTGCAGTCCTACACGGACACCAGGAAGGAGAGGTGTTACCTCAGCAAGCCAGACTGCAGCAGGTAAGGACGGGACGGGGCCAGAAGAAAACAGATCTAGGGAAGAGCACTCCAGATGGCCCGGAGGCCAACGATTTCTTCCGCTCCCCTGGCCGTGGGACTCCCAGGGGGCAGTGGGATGGAGAGATGCTGCATGGGGGAAGCTTTGATACTCACAGCAACAACAGCGCCTGGAGTGGTGAGGAGTTTTTGGAGTGCTCTACCCAAGTGAGGAGTAGTCCCTGCATGGAGCGACCTGCCAGCTTGGCTCCCGCCCCACCATGCCCAACTGAGGGGCCAAATGACCACGGTCTGGCCCATGATGGCTATCGCTTCAACAACTGCAGCCGGACACCTGCAAACTACAAGGAACGTCTGGAGCAGACAGTGGAACGGTGCGCCCACATCAATGGTGTCACTCCCCACTTCAACACCCGAGGTTACGGAGAAGTCCTGGGGCCACCCCGGCAGGAACTGACGGGGGACGACCAGTCGCCCAGTTCCTCCACTAGCCTGGAGGGACCCCTGGCCACAGTCAAAGACTACAGCCAGTACAACGGCCACTTTAACGGCATGGCCCCCAGCCCCTCGGACACGAAGAGCCTGAGCAGCGAGGAGGACCCGCGGCCTCCTCAGAGCTGCTTCACTACCGGCCCAGGACCTTCCACATGGGAGAGCTGGTCTGGAGCCAGCTGAAGGGCTTCCCATCCTGGCCTGCCAAGCTGGCCGGTGATGAACAAGTACGCAATGCAGCTATGCAGCTGCGGGAGCAGGCCAAGGTGAGAAAGCTTGACCAGCTGTCATTGTTTTAGCAGCCAACTTGAAATAGGACTGCAGTGTGACATCAGACCTTCCCTTTAAAGTCATTAAAACTTTTGTAAAGCCTTGGATTATAGCAAGTTATTTTTCAGAGTCAGATGTCGGCTTGCCAGAGAATAAATAGTATTTGATCAACACATTTTCCGTCTAATGCAAATTTATTGTAAATCAGAAGAATTTTTTTTTCCTGTTCACTCACCATAATGGCAGATGGATTCAGAAATGCTCTAAGCACAGTATTGTACCTGCCAAATCAGAGTTTCAGAATAGAAAAGGTCCTAATTCTGATGACTGCCAATTGAACTGGTAGACGGGACAAACTCGGCATCATTCTCTGATGGTTAGGGGGATGTTCTCAGTCCTGAGTGTACTGAGCTGTTTTCCCTTTGTTCAACTGACAGGTTGAACCAGAGAAGCTAAAAACACTAACCCACGACTTGGAGGCACTTGACCGAGCCGCCAAGAGGGGCCTCAAGTAAGTGAACCTGCCAAGCATTTTATAGTGTTGCTTCAAGAAAGAGTTTACAGTGTCACGCTTGATTCCCCATGAATTTGAACATGCTGAAAGTTTTCATCTGAGTGATGTGTTAACTGGTTTTGCTCATATTACCGTGCTAATTGACCTTGCTTGTTATATACATGCTCACTCAGACTGAGAGATTCTTGCAGCAACCAAATCTCCAAGAGCAAAAACAGTGGAATTCCTGCTTCAGCTAAAATGTAAATGTTGTCCAACAGACCAGGGAAACTGAATAATGACTTGGAAGCTGCTATCCACGAGGCCATGAGTGAGCTGGACAAGATGTCGGGCACAGTGAGTACCTACAGCTCTCTAGATCTCCCAGGGAGATGAACACATCCCTTTTCTCCTCCTGCCACTTCAGCTACCAATATCATGTGTCTGTGTCTGCTGTTAGATCCCGTCAAGAGATCGTCAGGTGAAGCTCCCCAAGCCCAAGAGGAGGAAGATATCCAGATAACATTGAATGTGTCCAAGAACAGAGACTTGGCCCGTTCAGCCTTGATGCGATCTGAGCTCTCTACCAGGTGCTACACATGGACTTTCAGTGGTACATCGTTGTTCCATGATATCAACTTGACTTAATGACTGACCACAGAAGGTGCTGGAAATTCCAATCACCACTACAGTTTTAACTGTAGGAAAAAAGACAACTAGAGAAGAACATCAAATGGTTGCAATTTGTCTAAAGCTCACGGAATTAACTATTTTTTTCTAGTATAAGATGGTAAAATAAACAAAAAAAGCTGCAAGCATTACCTTACATATTTAAGAAAAATAGACAGTCCAAATATTTCTGATACATTTTCAATATGTATATAGATAATCCTGAAATTTCATGCTATTAAGAATTGTATGTAAATATTGTACAATGTCATGTACAAGCATACCTAATGCACATTTTATCTTTTATTGTACAAAACAAAGCAGAAGAGGTGTACCAATGTCATGGTCTCTATTCAGCAGTGCGGCTGCGTATGGCTGCGCACATAGGATAAGTCAGAATAGAGCCTAAAGCTTTTATATGATGAACTGTAAGACATGTTCTCTTTTTTTAATTTTATTTTATTTTTTATTTCTTGTTAAGGGAACAGCAGTGAACAGGCATGAGTATATGAGTTCTCCATCACCAGTCACTTCACACCAGTTAAGTGTTCATTTGTATTGGGGAAAAAAAAACAAACCAGAATGAACTTTACCAGCACAGTGTTCAGTGTTCCCTAAGCATGGTGGGAAGTCGCCACCGGCCGGATGAATGTTGCTCCAGCAGCTGCTCTGATGTGTGAAATTCTTGGGTTTACCAAACTCACAACCTGGCTGACAACGGAAAGTTGGTTACTGGCACGTTTTAGAAGGAAAACTCCACCCTCGGGCACTTTGGCATCATCAGGTGTCATTTTGTGTTGCTCCTGGACTTTCACAAGAACACTAGAGAATTAACTGACATTTCTGAGTGAACCAGAAGTTAGTGACTTTACACATCTTCCTATATAGATGAGTCGTTGATTGGGCGTTACCCTGAGCTTGAGAAGGCAGGACTGTATTTATTCATACTTTAAATGATGAATCAAAAAGTACTCATCAGGTTAATCAGTCATGCAGTCAGCAGTCGCCCCCCTGCTTTGTAACCGCTTATCACAAATATGAGGATGCATATCTACATGTCATCAGTGGTGGAAAGTGCTAGTCCAGCTTTGAGGCATGTGTGCTTTACTTGAGTCATGAAATCATTTCCTGCTACTTCACTACATCTCAGAGACAAATCTTGTACTTCTTACTGCACTACATGTATTTGGTAACTTCAGTTCCCTTTCAGAGTCAGATAAACCAAATGCAGTCTAATCATCAGACTCTACTGATCCCCAGTGGGAAACTCACAAGCTACCCAGCAGTATTAAAGTACTTAGCATTACAACATGAGCTCTGCTTTTACCAGCTGCAACACTAAACTGCTGAGCACAATAATGCGTCATTATAATCCAATATTTGGAATATTTTTACACTCTGGTGTTGCTACTTTTACTTAAGTAAATAATTGTAGTACTTCTTCCACCACCCTTTGGTCGTTGTCCTCCAATCTGAAGCGTCTCATGCTCAGGTGAACATGATTAGAAACCAGTTGGGAGCGTCAGTCAAGTTTTTCTACATCCCAGTGAGGGGTGTTTCTCATTTACATGATGTTTGAGGTCACAGAACTCTCTTGTCACTGGCTTCGTCTTAACAGTTAGCCAGCTGTCCACATGGGGACAAACACTGAACCTTGAAATACTAACTAAAGTCACTACTGAGTGTTTCTGGGTGGATTTTTCCTTCAACAGCCAAGAATCACAGGCTGCATTGAATTGTCATTTGGCCGTTGTGATTATGTTCTTGTGCTTGTTTTGTACAGTGTGTTTTTTTTTGTTTGTTTGTTTGTTTGTTTGTTTTATTTCAGCTATAGCATTAGGTAGAGTAACCAACCTGTAGATTATCAAAAGGAACACTAACTCTGTTTCAGGAGCAGTGAAAGCACCTCTCACATTTAGGGGCCTTGTGCTTTTCTTTCCCTTTTTGATGTAAATTATTTATGTACAGTACTCCATATTTATTTTAAGCTTTACAAATATGCTAGATGGCAATAATATTACCAAGAGTTGAGAACTCAAGCCTTATATGTGTACATGTATGTTGTTGTTGGTTGTTTTTGTTGTTTTTTTTAACAAGTGAACAGATCATGTTTTCCGACTCCATTACAAAAGTCATGTTCCCTTTTATTTAAGACTTGAGCATTACAGATAAGTTGTCTTACAGTGAGGTTTTCTGGTCCACTTGTTTTTGTTACACACCATGTCACTGATTGCTTAGTTTTTAAGAACCACACTATTTATGAATATGCACATCTGAAAAGGCAAATAGCATTTATGTTGGGAATAAAAGCAGCTGTAACACTACAAAGTATTGAGAACATTTCAAGCCGAAAAGCAAAAATCATCACTTGAGAGCGTGAGAATCGACAGTGATGCACAGTATTACAACTCTGGATCAACACCACACACACACACACACACACACACACACACACACACACACACAGACAGGGCTGCTCCTCTAGATCAAAGTCAACCAAGTGCAATACAGCAGTCGATGGCAAAGATCAACGATCCTCTTGTGCACACCTTCAGCAGCATGGACTGTAAATTGTTGCCAGTTTTCAAACTGTCAACATCTCTTGTGCACATACTCTGCCACTTTTTCTTTTTTGGTAACAATGTCCATGTTATTCAGATGCCATGAAATAGTGCTGTACCTTCACACACATGCCATAACCATCAACACCAACAGTCTCATTGAACCCACATCGAGCTCTAACGCACACACTGAACTCTGAAATCACTGAATTCAACTTTTCAGTCGGAATTAACTGCATTTCTATCAGTGAACTGAACCATTACAGATGTTGCTCATGTGCAAACCTTACAACCAAATAGTGCACTACTTAGTGAGGAGATTGGTCCTGTCATGAAAACACTACTGTTAAAACACACACACTGTTAAAAACTTTGGGTGTGCACAAAGGTTTGGTAACCCCAGACAAAGTTTTACTATAATACATGGCCCACATATGTAACCCACTTTTATATTGTGTCCTAAATGAGGAGCCTCAGTCATACTATGAGTTGTAGCCAAGTAAACACTTTCAACAGGTCTTGCATACACTTATTTGTACTGTATTATCTGATGAGATCTTTCACTTATTTCAAAAAATGTCATACCGTTTGTGTCGTGTGCACACTGGAAAACTGAAGGACATTTTGAAAAAGCTCAGTTTCTTCCCTGAATTTGTCACATCAAAAAATACCTGATCACACTCTTAGTTGGGCCTGTTTGATGATGCAGATGTCACTTAATCCCTCTGAAAATGTCCTGCTAAACATACTCATCCTTGTCAAAACACCCCATTTTTCAGCATGCACACTTTGAATAACCTCTGAGTTGAGTTTTTTCTGTAAGCAATCCTCCGGCCGTTTGCAAAGTGTCATTTGGTGTCAGGAACACGAGCTCTTTTGGTAAAGTTCATTCAGCCTCTTCCTCTGTTTTTTTGTGCAATGACATGCAGGAACCCGGTATCATGTTGGGAACCCATGTGTTATGGATCTGTTATAACAGTTTCATGTTATTTGTGGTCAAGAATTTAAAGCCTTTTGTGTTTGAGATGAGTCTGTGCAGTCTATTTTTTTTTTCTCCTCCTGCCTGTGACTGTGTGTTGTGCGGGTGTGTTTTATTGTCTCCTGCTCTTCAAATCTCATTTCACTCTCCTTCTTCCACCCTTTTGCCAGTATTTTATTGTTTTCAACTTGTACTTAAGTATATATTTTCTCACTAATATATACTTTACAAAAAATAGAAGTGTGTGAAGTATGATGTGCACTTGATTGCTCTTGTTTATTTTTCTTTTTGCATTAATGTGCGCTAGGGATAGTTTGTCAGGCCATCTTTTTGAGATTGTTTGGACATTTTTTTAATGGTTTGATGTAAGCAGCATTTTTGTAAATATTGTCAAACATTACAGGTCATGCAGTGATGTAACATTTTGAACAATGTTGCACAGATGTTTAAGATATTAAAAACATGGTCACTCTTACTTGAATTATCTGTTGTGTAACCTGTTTTTATGTCCCCTCTTTGTATCCTTTGTGTTTCTTCGTGTTTCCCAAATTATTGAAAGCTTTAACAACTGGTTTATTGAGTTAAAACGGATCCATCAAGACTCAACGTATAAAAGTAAAAACACTGATCATTTTAAAGCCGGCGTTTCTTGTCACGCTCTGCCCTCTAGTGGCCAAATAGGAGAACACACCTTTTGCCTCACAACAAGAATCACAAGCATGAACTAACAAAATGGAAATGCTCAAAGTACAAATGCCTCAAAATTGTAAACTATTTTATTAAATGCTACTGCTGCCCCTAGTTATTCAATAATAATAAAACATATATACAAAATAGTATATGTTTAAATATCAGTAATGTTAATTTTTACAGTAAGGTTAGTTGGATCTGTAACTGTAAAAATCAATTAAACTTTTTTAAATGTTTAATTTGTATTATTACTCTGAATCTGTACAGTAACCAGTGATGGGGAGTAGTGAACAGCATGTAATTAACCCATGCTTTTGTGTGTGTGTGTAATTGAACTAGTAATAGATTTCCGATGTTGTGTCCATCTTCCCTAGGAACCATTGTGCTTGCATCTGTTGGCCACGGACACTTTGCAGAGACGGACTGACCCGTTGTTGGTCTGTCTAGATGTAAACAACATGGCTGTTGTCTCATTAGTTACAGATCTTCACACACTGTGCACTAAACGTTTAGCATTAACATGATGATCCTCTGGCAGATTCTGGATCAGCGTCTTCTGTCTGCGCTTTCTTCGTGGGTTTTATTTGCAGTGGACATCTGAGACGTGAGATCCTCGGACATGGTAAGTAACACCGAATCTAAAATGTCTCTACATTGGACTGTATTCTTATTTGAGTCACAAGCTGACGGGTTCAAACTAAGCAGCCCCTACCAACTCCATTGTTGATTGTGCTGATGTTTTGATTTGTGAAGGGAAAATCCTGGAAAACCCGGGAAATCCAGTTCCCTCCTGGTTCTTGTGGTGTGTGCACGTACAGTAGGTTCTTAATAACTCTGCTGGATGTTTGGGCTCAGTGTCAGGCTGCAGGCTGAATCTGGGACTGACACATTTACTCGGGTCTTGTACTTAAGTACAATTTTGAGGTATTTGTACTTTGCTTAAGTATTTTCATTTTTTGCTACCTCATACTTTGATTCAGGTACATTTTAGGGGAAAACTTTTTACACTTTACCAGCTGTAACACTGAATGTGATGTGATCCAGTTGTATGATATTGTAAACATTAATGTGAAATGTGCGACTCTGCATGATGATGATGATGCATACTGTTACTTTTGATATCGATAATTTATTGTGTGAACAGCATCATAAAGAATTTTAGCCCAGGAGTCAAACTGTGTGAATCAAACATGCACCCAGTGCCTCACTGTCACACTGCTGGCACTCACTCTGGATGAAGACTAATGACTCTGTTTACCAGGAGCCATCAGAGACCACAGTCCTCCCAACCTGACCCTGAGCCAGGGCGTGTGTCCTTCAGGTTTAAGATGGACTCCCCTCTCCTGATCTCAGGTCAGCTGCTTCACTCATTCAGTGTTTGGTTCAAGAATTTGTACTTTACTTGAGTGTTTATACACATCACATTTAGTACCAAATTACCAACAAACTGAATGATAAAGGTCAAAAACTGGTTGTTCCTCTTCTCCTCCGGATGGTCACTCGGGGCTGAGGCTGCTGGAGACCAGCCCTTCACGCTCCACGCCACGACTACATCAACACCATAGTAAGTCTCTCCCTCTCAAACTCATTCAGTCCTAAACTGTTTGTTACTTGAGAGAATGAATTCTAGTGGGTCTGATCTCACCTCTGACCTTTCACTCCACCTCCACCCTTTAGATTGACCACTTCACCTGGACGCCAGCCTGCATCACCACCCACACCCCGCCCTTTGCTCACACACCAAAGATGGCGCACAGGGAACACTAAGCTAACTTAAAGGTACAGTATGGAGCTTTTTTCCAAATATTTTGGTTGTACAAATCTGCTCCAAGCCTCCTGTCACCCAGACTCATTGAGCCACATTAGCTTCTAAAAGCTTTTCAGCACGATTGACATTTTCACTTATTTCTGTTTCATCACTAAGTTTTCTTCTGATTTCATAACAACAAATATTTGAAGACCTGGGCACAGCTGGGCAGGGTGTGTGGGAGCGTAGCAGAGCAGGGACACAGACTGCTGTAGCTTTAAGCTAACTTAACCTAACTAACCGTGCATGTACATCTGTTGTCAGTTTGTGACCCAGCTCATTGTTTGGCTGTGCTTTACCCCTCATCTTGTATTGCTCAGCTTAAACTCACATCAGTGTTCCTAAGTCAGCAGAGATTTGCTGACTTAGGAACACAACTCAATTTAAGGCCTTACTTATTGTCTACAAGTGTCTCAGTGGTCTGACCACTCATGTCTCCTAATTTACTACACAAGCAAAAATACTTTTAAGTGCTGCTCAACAATCTCATGTGAGCCATGCTAACTTTGTGCAACTAAACTATTCATCTACTTTGTTGAGTGCACAACCTTAGGAGAGAACAGCATATAGACTTTCCCCGCTTGCACCAGGTCCATCTCCAGCTTCGATCAGGTGAGTATCCTTTCTTTATTTCTCCCATTGTGTTTACCTGGCGGTAGCAAGGATGGAAGTGCGTGCAACACCCATTTGGGTAACTGTACTTCTGCCATGAATGTTTGTTCGATACACACATTCATGACCGAAGTACAGAAACCTGCCCAAATGTGTCTTCTCCATGGGCTTTCCGTTTCTTGTTGCCTCCTGGGGGAAGAGGCAAACCCTTCAACTTTAACCTTTGACCCTTTAAAAATCATCTCTATGCCCTAGTCTTGTAAGCAAGTGGCTGTAAATGCTTAAAATTTCAGTATCATTTCTTCTTGTCATGCTGTCCTTCTTCATAACCTCCTGCTCTCACCCCCCTGTGCTCTCTCCACCATCCGCTCCAGACCCCACAACAACAGACAGGATTCGACCCCAGGCAGACCGCATCATAGCTTCACAGCTGCGTAGAACCCCACCGCGCCACTGAGAGCCCTTCACGTTTCAACATGCTCTCGGTGCACTTTTGACCCTACAATTTGGATGGTAGGCTTCAAAATTCATTTTTGTCAGGGCAGGACTTGAACCAGTGAGCTCCCAACTTCTGAGCTATCTGCTCTGACAACCTTGCTATCTTTCTCAGTGTTTTTTAGTCCCAACTTTGGTCAATGGACTTCAAATTTCACTCAGTCTTATGAAGACTGACCCTGAATCCACAGGACAACCAAGCAGTCCAGTTTTTCTCTGCCCTTTTCAGTCTTTATTTAGACATTAGTCTTCCCCTGAGCCAGCAGTCTTCTAACACCCAGAGCTTTCTGCTCGGACAAACAGACATTTATCTGACAGGACCTTTTACTATTGAGATACTCTGTGTTTTTTTTTTTGGCTTGACCTTCATTTTTAGCACTTTTTTATACTTTATTATAGCAAAAACCTGTTATTAATCTTCACATTTACTGCCTTTTGTCAGCCATCTGTAAAGCACTTTGCCCTGCATTAATCAGTATGAACAATGCTATACAAATAAAGTTTTGATTGATGATTGTGTCTAATTGTTATTGTCAGAAATAATATTATGCATGTTGGTTCGATCAGTTTTTATATAACTACTGAGTGGGAACATTACACCTGAACTGACCCAAAAGGATGAATCAAAATGAGCTTTATTGGCCAGGTGTGTTGGATACATGAGGAATTTGACTCAGGTACAGTGGCTCTCAGTGTGCATGTACAATGTTCTTCTATAAAGCAAGCGTAGACAAGTAAACAAGAGAAGACAGAGAATGAAAAAAGAATGTGCATTAGGAAAATAAAAATGAAGTCCACTGTCATCTCCACTGTTTTGAACGTGTTCAGCTCCAGGTTGTCGTGACTGCACCACAGGACCTGTTCAACATCCCATCTGTAGGCCGACTTGTCACCGTCTCGGATGAGACTGATGACCATTGTGTCATCTACAAATTTTAGGAGTTTAACAGAAGGGTCCTCCAAGGTGCAGTCATTGATGTAGAGAAGAAATATTGATGAATATGAGTGAATGCCCTCAGTCCCATCCTCTACACTCTGTTCACCAACAACTGTGTCGCCTCCCACAAAGACAACATCATCCTAAAGTTTGCGGACGACACCGCAGTGATAGGTCGCATCACTGGCGGGGATGAAGCAGCCTACAGGAGGGAGGTGGCCGGTCTGGTGTTGTGGAAATCACCCTAACAGTGTCATGGTGCAAGGACAATAACCTCAGCCTCAACACAGACAAGACGAAGGAGATGATAGTGGACATGAAGAAGGAGAGGAGATCTCATCGACTGCTGTTCATCCAGGGGCTCGAGGTGGAGAGGGTGAGCAGCTTCAAGTACCTGGGCGTCCACATCAGTGAGGACCTCACTTGGACACTTAACACCACACAGCTGGTCAAGAAGGCCCAACGGCAACTGTACTTCCTGAGGAGGTTTGGCATGTCACCTAGGATACTCGGCAACTTCTACAGCTGCATCATTGAGAGCATCTTGACCAGCTGCATCACTGTCTGGTATGGCAGCACTACTGCTATGGACCACAAGCACCTGCAGAGAGTGGTAAAGACTGTGGAGAAGATCACCAGGACTCCATCATGTAACCTCATCTGTACTGTTTACATACAGTACAGATTTTGCACATGCATGGTTGCACACTCACTGCTAAGTGTTTACACTCCACAGCTCCCTCGTAGCATATATTCTCTCTGCATTATATTGTGTTCTTGTTGTATTTTTATTTGCTCCCTTCACTTGCTGCTTTAAAGTGCCTTAGATTGGTGATTTTACTGCCTATTTAGATTTGTTTTATTGCTCATTTACTTTACATTTCACTTGTTTTATGTGGCATTCATGTGGACGGCAAAGTAAGAATTTCATTGTACAGGGAAACACGTTTCCTAACTGTGCATATGACAAACACTTTGACCTTGAATTAAAGAAATATCTTTTTTAATGCTGTCTGATCATTTGCTTAATATAATTTCAGCATACCACAAGTGAGGAAAACAATTCACTGACAGGAATATCCCAGTAGTCTACATTGTCTGACAAGGGCACGAGATTTGTTCAGGGTTGATGGCAGAGCAGTTAAAGCCAGGTCAGTGGCAAAGGACCTTGCTCTTTGCCACAACACCCTGAACCAAGAAAGAAGTTAGGCATTGAACAACTGAGAACAAGGTAGCCTATTGCACAGCATCACAAACAAAACAAATTAACTGTGATTTTCACAGATACAAATCATTGTTTGTAAAACAAACAGTTCACACATCCAGACAAATTTAAGTTAATAAGTACCATTTTAATGGATGTTGCAACTGTCTGCAGGTATGGGGTCAGTTGTGTATCTGTCTATGCTTTTCTGTTATTTACCTTGTCTTCTGGTACCATCCTCTCTCCTTATTTCCACCGGGTGCAGCTCTAGGTGGGCGGTGGACAGGGGGTCCGGTAGGATAACAGGTCCCATTGGGTGAAACACATCTGAGCTTTTATTTTTCAGATACTTTACCTGAGGATAATTGTCCAGCACAAACTATCTCTCAGCCACCGTTGTAAACGCACAGTGGTTGGACATATACATGTTTAAATGTTTGTAATTCCATTTTCTTACCATGTGAAGAGCTGGGCATTTGTCCAGTGCGTTAGTGTTTATCCATCACTTTGGCTTAATCTTCAAATAACAGTTGAGACTATGAAAACTATCTTACTACTGCTGGAGAACTGCACGTTTCTGCCACCTGGTGTCCAAAGGCCATCACTGCAGACAGCCTGCACCCAAAATAGGCCTTAGTCTGATTACACCATCCTGATAGAAAATATGTTTCACTTACAGATTACAACATATTTTTGCACATTAAAATGACAGATCAGTCTGGTGCAGTAAACTGGTGCAGCTTTGTCATTCATGCCATTTCTTCATACAGCTGATTGGCTGTAATGAAAGGCTAAATGATAATCTGACATTGTTTCTGTGTAAGTAAACACCCTTGGCAGACCAGTTCATCTGTGGAAAATAACTTGAAACATTTGAACTGTAGAGGTCGTCAGGTTTCACAGTGAAATGATATGCTACACACGAGGTTTGGAAATGCTTAAGATTTATCATGTTGTTTTGGTGTCCATTCAGTCAAGTGTTTTTCTAATAAAATGTACACACAGCCTGTTGTTCAAGGACTGGTTTTCTGTAAACAGCCGAACAATCATCAAATATACTGTAAATATAGAGGTTGACATTACATTTGAGTCTGTTCTCTGGGTCTTTGCAGACTTATTTTGTTTCATTTTTTCATTCATTCATTTCAAAATGTAACATTTAAGGGATCTGGCTTGAAATGTTTTGCCTGTTGGAACATCAGAGGGGAAAAAAAAGCCAATTTTTCATGCAACCAGAAAATGTTTTTTTTTTTTATTATTAGATAATTAGCAGCATCAACCAGTCTGTTCTCCCAAGGTCGCAGCTCATGCTCTACAAGTGAATTGTACAAGAACACATTACATTTGTATATTCAAAATAATTACCTTTGTTTATTCAAAACACAGAAGCTGCACTCACTGCACAGTGGACTCATGAGGAGAGAGGACACCTTGTGGCTGATCTTTCCATCTGTTCAGTTTGGCTCAACAGGGGAGAAGCACAAAGAATCAGGGAAGCATGTGGGAGGCTAAATTACCAGCCAGTGACTGAACAATGTCCAGGGAAAGGTTTTCGATTTGTGACTTATCGATAATCATTCATTCGTTTTAAGAGGAAAAAAAGCTCCAACTCTCTGGTTCAAATGTAAATATTTAATTGAAGAAAATAGACATATTCCATATTAAAAATAATCATTAGCTGCAGCCCCCCTAAGGATGTAAAGGCAAAACCAAAAAGCTCTATTCACTGCCTATGATACCTCATCTACCTCATCTAGACATGCAGTAAGTCTCTAGTTAATATATTAGAAAATACTTCTAAAACATTTGTTGTGCTTGATTTGGAAGTATTTTTAGTTTGTAGCTAAAAAAAATGCATTTAATTAGTTTGATTCAAGCCTATAATACAACAAAATATCAATGGATACTTCAGAGTAATTAAATGGCTGAGACTAAAAAAACAAAACAAAAACATGCTCAAAATGTAAAACTTTTATTTGTCAGCTAATGAAATGGACTGTGATCCATTTGTTTCTTCCATTTTAAAGAATACTAACATAAACACAAGAAAAAAAAAAACCCGGCAAAACATGACAGCTGGTTTCAGAGCAGGCATCACCAGACACTGGCGTCACTGGACGGGACAGAGGCGAAGCTGCCCAGTACAGTGACACCTGCTGCTGGTTTAGGGTCTCTGAACACCACAGAAAAGCTGGAAGCACAGGATTTTCCCCCCCACTTGCTATGGCGAATACAACACTAACAATGGACACTGGAGTTAAACGCAGGCTTCAGTGTCTTGTTTCAAAGAAGTGCTTTAACTTTAAAACTTAAAACTTAAAATAAAAAAAAAATCAACCTACACCAGCTGTCAAGTATAGAATAAAGAATACTATAAACCTTTTTTCATTTTGTTAATTTCTTTAAAAAAGGAAAATTTAAAGTTCACTCATTTCAGAAATGCACCCTGGAACATTCGACCACAGAGAAGAGAATTCTCATCTAGCAATATAAACAATGTTGCTAGATGAGAATTTCAGGGCAAGAAAGTATCGCAACAAGCAAGGTCCCTTCACATTAATAACAACTCATCTCTTGACCAGTTCACAAGTCTCTCAGTCCCAAGAATCCATTGCAGGTCTGCAGCCCGACTCCTTCAAAGCCCTGACAAGACATCGCAGGCCATTCTAATGAATCCATCTTGTAAGAGTTCCCAACTCGAGTCTAACCAACAACTAGTGGCTCCTAAGAACCATCAGGGAGCGACCAGTGACCTCCTGTAGCTTCTTCTGAACATGCTCTCTGTACAGAACATCTCCAGTCTGATTATTTCACTCTGAGCACAGCCAGGAACAGACCACTTCAGTAACACAAACCTCACTTGACTGATGCATGGCCACAAACCAACTAAGCTCTGGGAAAAGGTAGCCTGCTCAGGAGGCTTAACAACCTTTATGTTCGTGTCTTTTGGAAAGGGGGGGAGTTTGACTGTCAGTCACCACTGCTAACGTTACTGAGGTAGAGATGTGTCCCCGGTTGAGGACTGATGTTTTCTTAAGCTCCCCAGGCAGAGAGGTGCCAGGCCTCAGCTTCCACACCTGTACACACTCGTATACATGCACTCGCTCTCACACAGACACACCAACACTCAAACAGCTGGACAGACAGACAGACAGCGTGGACACACTCTTCAGCTGACTGTTCCTCTGTCAGGCCATTTCATAACCTGAGCCCCTTTGTGAGCTGGTAGGCAGAGAAAACCATCTGCAGTGACTGGGAATGAAACACTGGGATGCAACTGGAAAACACACACACAAACAACAGCTACACCGCTACCGCTCATCTTCATAACACTTTTAAGCTCGAGTGGCACATGCTATCCTATCACCGGTGCATGTAAAAAACACTTTCCCTTTGTTACCTGTGCTACATTCGTTCATCAGAACCTGCCGTGTGACAAGTTGGATGGCTCGTTTCGCTTCTGTTTCACTGACAAAGGAGTTTCATCAAAACTTTTTCAGCCTCAGTGAAGCTATTAAAATACTGCAGCGTTGATTCATACAAATCTTTTACTTAAACATAGAAAACAATAGTTTGAATTGACTGAGTAGTGAAATAACCCCAGAGAATTAGCATATTTAGCATGTGATATGTTTTGACATGATGTAACACAGCAGCACTTTGACACTGAATGAAAAAAAAAAAAAGACCTTATTTATCCTCAGACTCCAGTCCTGAATCCTGGCAACTCAAAAGAAGGGTGTCATCAATAAAATGAGTCAAACAAAGCAGAGGAGAAGAACTAGAAGAGGACAAGTAGTCATGCTAAAGCTTTGCATACAAGTCATTAAGCAAAACAAACAAAAATAAAACAGCTTTCAATGGCTATGTTTGTTACAAAAAAAATTCCAATTGGTTCCATTTTGGTTTTACCGTGTTCCTGTGCTTACATGACCTCTGCTGTTCGATGAGGTCTGCTTGTTCAAAGTGACTGTAAGCATCTCCACATCCAAACTTTCAAGTGGAGAGTGGGGTTGGTGCTTTGGCAAAGTTTGACAAGACCGCCTGGCCGAGGGGGTGGACTGGGTCATCCATGAAAACTTAGCAGCCGCTGAGGGGAAAGTTCGGGACAGAGGTGCTGCTCTCACATGGACTCAAACTCATCGATGCGCTGCTTTGTGTTGCCCTGTCGGATCTGGCGCAGCGTTTTGTATTTGTCTCGGCCTGCCTTCACATTCTCAGCGTGCAGCACATCGTTCTGTGTCTTCTTGGTTTCATCTCTGGCCTCGGCCAACTCTGAACTTAATGTCTGAGAGATCAAAAAGAAGACAGGATGAGCAGTTGATGACCGGGAGGGAGGGAGGGAGAAAGAAAAAGAGAAGCAAAGAATAAAATGGAAAACGAGGAGGTGATGGAGCACAGAAATAGCGCACGAGAAGAAGGAATAATAATAAAAAAAAGTTTAAAAAATGGGCACAGGTGCAGAAGAGAAGCTACACCTCAATCACTGTGAAGGTTCCTGTTGACACAGAGCCACTCATCTACAGCCTCTGACTATTTGTGTTCACTGAACAAATAAATACTTCAACAACAGTTGAACCTACTTTTAAACACTAAAGCTTTTTCTGTGGGACAATATTTCCAGCACCGTTTGTCCAGACCTAACGCAGGCTTACAGGTGCAGTGGAGACACTTTTTGATTGTTGCTTTTTGTGTGTGTGTGTGTGTGTGTGTGTGTAAATTAATGATTATGAAACTGTTTTGATTTTTTCTTGCCATAGCTTCAGTACAAGTCCTGGCCTACACAGTAGCCCAGCTTTGATTTACAGCCTTTGTGATATATTTACTGTAAAGTTATTAAAGATATGAAGTGATATCACCAGTTTGATCAGGTAATTACCAGTAGGTCTGCATTAAAGCCAGGCTACAGTGTAAGCCAGCATGTCTATATGGAGATAAAATACTATCAAAAATGTTACAAATGCATGTTTATTGTTTTGTCTGTAACAAGCGATTTGTGTGTGTGTGTCATGCTGTTCACAAATGCATGCTGTACAAACTGCACATAAAACACATTTTACAAATGCTTAAAATCGATTTTTCGTGTGCAGTTCTTTAGAAAGTACGTACACATTGTTACCTACGCATGCGTGGATCGTCTAACACACACGAATCACCTTCCGCGCACACACGGATTTTTGAGAGTGTTTTTCCGCACTCTCAAAAGTCCACGATCCACAAATGCACGGTGCGTTTAAGGACACGTGGAAAACTCGGACATCTGAGTCTCCAAACCTGTTTCTCAAACAAAAGTATTTACACAATGGGGAGGGGGGGCTTGGGGGCGGAACAAAGCTTCTGATTGGATAACTTTTCACCTAGAACTGTCAAATCGAGCTTGATGAAAGCCGGTATTTATACTGTGTGTGTCTCCTCTCCTGTGGAACCAGCTCCCAGTCTCAGTTTGGGAGGCAGACATACCTTTAAGAGTAGACTTAAGACTTTCCTTTTTGATAAAGCTTATAATTAGGGCTGGCTCTGGTGACCTTGAGCCTTCTCTTACTTATGCTGCTATCGGCCTAGACAGCTGAAGGCCCCCATGATGCTCTTGAGTTTCGCTCCTCTCATCTCCTCTCTATGCATCAATGTGCCAGGATTACATGTCATTAACTTTAGTTTCCTCTCTCCTGTAGTTTCAAGTCAAGTTAAGATTTTTATTTGCCATTTATGCATAAACAGATGGGCTAGGCATATAGGAATTCTAGTGTGTCCTCTCATGGATCTGGAGTTCTACGTTTCTGATGAGCACTCACTGGCCACAAGGTGATTCGTGTGTGTTAGACGATCCACGCATGCGTCGGTAACAATGTGTACGTACTTTCTAAAGAACTGCACACAAAAAAATCGATTTTAAGCATTTGTAAAATGTGTTTTATGTGCAGTTTGTGCAGCATGCATTTGTGATCCTCATGACACACACACAGAAATGGCTTTATACGTGCAGATTGCGCAGCACGCATTTGTGATCCTCATGACACACACACAAATCGCTTGTTACAGACAAAACGTTAAACATGCATTTGTAACATTTTTGATAGTATTTTATCTCCATATGTCTACTCCTGTTAAAAGCAGAACGGACAGAGAAGTTGGCCTTATCTTACCCTTATTTGCCATTGCTTGGCCGGTCTCTCTTCTTTGCAACAAAACTGCTGTTAGAAAATATAATCATCTCATTGTTACTTGTGTTTGTGAGACACAAACCTCTTTTACTTAAAACTAATCAACTGAATTAAAAAAATAAATATTGTTCAATTAAAACAAATGTTTTTTTATTCCTTTGGGAAATTTTAGGTGGTACTGCAGCACCAGGTTGCTCTCCACAAGGAACTATCAATTATTACAGTTTTCATGAATGTTGTATTGAGTGTGAAAGTTCACTTGATCTTGGGAAAGGTAGTTCCCAAATGTTTTGATCCAACCCTTCTACTGAGCACTTTAGTCCTTGCTGGGGGGCCAGTTTGGGCCACAGGCTACAGTGTTCTACCCCTGTCGTGAAGGTTTCCCCCCTTGCTCTCACCTGCAGCTGCTTCTTCACCCTCTCGTTTTTCTGGGCTTCAGTGACGCGTGCCTCCTCACTGCGGAGGTCTAGCTGGCTGACACCCTCATTAGAGAGCTCGGCGCTGGCCTCTGCATGGTTCTCATCCTGCTCATCATGCTCACTCTCAGCATGGCTGCCCACAGGTGCTGGCACCACCGTCATTGCAGTCTTCAGCTCCTCCTTGGTCTTCTCCAGGTCCTCCTGGGCTGACAGAGCCTGCAGGTCGCATGGAGGGAGAATGTCAAGACAGTGACCAGATTCACACAGGAGAGGTGACAGAAACATACAGTGGTAGACCCTCAATGTCGGAGATGCAGCTGAATGTCTGGGGAGCTGTGACATCTGCTGTGTCAAGCTCTGAATGATTGTTTATTATACTGTGACTGCTCACAGGGGATTCATACAGACAGAGCACAGAGCTGTGTGAGAGACTGTAGAACTGAGTCATGATCAGAGCTCCTTCTTTCTACATCCATTAGGAAATACCATATCTACAACAGCAAGTACACGGTGTAACTGCACGTTTTTACAGTGGAGATAGTCCCACACAGTTTGTGAAGGCACCCATACAGTTTGTTACACACACTAAGGCGTCAAATAATTAATGGTTTCCTCTTCATTTAAATCCTAACAAGTACCAAAACTATTTGTTGCTTTTTAAAATATAATGACAGAGATGTTCCTGAAGTTTAGAATAAGACTCAGCCATAGTTTCAGATGGTTACGAAGATTTCAAAGTGTTTCCACGTTAACCTCATTTTGATCTAAAAGTACACGGTGAAGAAAGGCGAGGAGGGGTGTGGTACCTTGTGCTGCCATTGTGTAGCCTCATCTTCTTTCTTCCTCTTGGCTTCCTCAAGTAGAGTGATCTTGGCTGTGAACTCAGCCAGTTCAGCAGCCTGGGATAAAACACGTACATTCAAAAACACAAACACACTTTGCACAGACTTTATATTACTTTACAAAACTCATTTCAATATTCATTAAAGGGGGTTGTGTGCACAAAAACTGAAGTAATAATCTACACATATGCCAGCCTGGACTTCCCAAACCAGCACCACACAAAGACACACCAGCTGCTCCTGGGTCTTCTGCTGGTATGCAGCCTGTTTGGCCAGCTCTGCCTTAGCCTCCTCAGCCGCCTGCCTTTCCCTCTCCAGCCTCTCTGCCTCTTCTCTCGCCCTCTTTCTCTCCTGCTCCAGCTCCATAGCACGGCGAGTCTGGTCCTCAAGCTCTGCAGAAGACCAAAGACACAAACATGTTACACACAAATAAACTTTAACTTCATTTTCTACATATTTCAAATTCAAACCCAAGTATAATATCTTCTGGTACGATCAGGTCAAGTCAGATGCTTTTGTTCTTTGGGCACAAAAAGTATCATTTGTCCGTAAATACAGTATTTAACAAAAACTAAAAATAGTACAAAGTAGCATTTTACTGTAACATCACTGTGGTTACAAAAGCATCATGACTAGACAGCTGGCCTCGACTCAGGAAGAGTCAGTACTTTAAAACTTTTAAACCTTACTTTAAAGTAGTATACCAGTAGTAGAGATAAATGAACAGATGGATGGATAACAAGTGAAACACGTACCTTTCTGAGCTCTCATCGTCTGCTCTTCAATCTGTCTCAGTCTCTCCATGAGCTCTTCTTTCTCACGCTCTATCTTCTCCTTCTCTTTCTCTGCGTGTTCCCGTTTCTTTTTCTCATTCTCCAGCTGGGCCCTGAAAAGTTTTGCAATCACATGTTTCAGATTGCTTGGGCACTTTTGAGTGAAAAACACGAGTTTTACTATTGATTTGATTTGATTTATTCTTTCAAGCATGTAAAGACAGTTGATATGTCAACACACATAATTTTACACATATCCAACAAATGCTAATCCAATATCAATTAGCTTATACCTAGTACATGCTTGAATGGAGTAGGAAGAAGTCAGACTTATCCAGTCCTACCCCATGACATCATCTTACCATCATTGGTTTGCAAGCAGTATCTCTACATAGATAATTCTCTTCTACACCACACAAGTAATATACTAAAAAATTATAACAGTGTTAACATTCATACATAATTATCTTCTACACCACACAAGTAATATATTAAAGAATTGTTACAAAGTGTTAACAATCATACCCCACACCCACAATGTTCCATCTAATTAATCATTGAGCCTGTTCTTGCATATATCTTGATTGACACATACCTTTATATTTATGCTTAAACTCGTCAATTCTATTACTATTTTTTATGTC